GAGCGCCTTAGATTGGGTATTATGTGAGCTGTTCACCTCTGTACATGTGCCACAGACCATGCCCAGCTGCATCAGCTGTGTCTGACAGTCCTTCCAGCTGGTGCTGCCCTACGGATGCCCCTGCGCTGAAGCCAGGTGGTGGCCAATGGCCCAATAGATTTTGGAAAGTCTAAGAGCCCCACGGATGCTCAGCTCTCCCGAGGCAGGGGAGGGAAAGGAGAGGAGCTGCAGCCTCTCCTTGTGTATAAAATGTAAATGGGCATTTGGCTCCCTGTGCCTCCTCCCAGTCAGTCTCCTGTCCCCGAGCTGGTTTGCAAGGGTCTCTGTTCTTGCTTACACTACAGCCCAAGTAGGTCAAGTGTGGCTTGTCAGGGTGGCAACAGACATGTCTGAAGCCACTGCTAACCTGAGAAGTGACAGTGAGAGGCGTCCAAGCCACACATCTCTGCACTAGCTCCCGCAAGCTGCAGGGCTGGGAGATGGCCAGCCTGGCAGTTTGCACCTACTTTGTTTCCTAGCCTGGGTTCTGTGTTTAAATCCCCATGGGCAGCTGAAGCCACCAATTAGATCACCTCTAGGCAGCAGAGCAGGTGCTGGTCCTTGAGGGACAGCTTTGATGTATTCTGCCAGTGTACTTCCCCTGAGATGGATTCAAAAGACAGCCAGCCCAGTCTGAAGAGGCTGCTTTGGAACAACCTGCTACTTCTCCATTACTTGGCACCCTTTCGTCAGTGGGTGAGCCTGTCGCTGACTGTGAGGGACTCTTCAAAGCCAGCATCACACCACCATCACAGATGTTAAAGGTAGCAGTGGGCTCCTGGCAGGAGACAGTCCAATCTTAAGTGACAAAAGCAGGGCGATATTGAAGCCTCTGTTCTTTTAACTAGGTCACGTTTGCAGCTCGAACAGCAGGCCAGTTCCCAGTGACAGCCATCTGGCCAATTAGCCTCCTGCCCCAGGCTGACTCTGGCTATTGCCTCCAGCCTGGGACTCGGGAAGCAGCAGGAACTGTTGTCTAAATTCCCCTTCCAGCAGCTCAGCAGCAGCTATCAGACAGCTGATGTCACCGTGCTTGGCAAGCGTCCTCCCACAGAAGATGAATCTCCCTCATTTAGCCTACCCAACAGGTCTATTCATCCACCCAGCATGCAGGATGAAGCTGGCTCTGCCCAGCAGACTCAAGACAAAACCCAACATTCTAAGCTGGGCATGGTGGTCAAAAAGACACTTGCCCCCCTTCCCAGAAAAAAAAAATAACATTAAGATCTAAGGACACTAGAAAGTAGAGAGGATTCCGGATGTTCTCCCTATAACCTCCCCCGGAAAGACAGGTCGGCTCTGCATCCAGAGTGAGCTGAGAAAAGGCCCCACATGCCTTGTCACCACAAAGACCTTCCTGTCTCACACAGGCAATTATCTCTGAACAAAGCCAGGAGCCAGCCCAGCTGCGTGCATTCTGTCCACTGGTTTGGAATATAGGATTGGCCTGTTTGCTGCCCAGTCCTGGCTCCCAGGGTTGTTGCTCCTTAGTCCCCAAAGTTTGCCCAGATATTTGAATGCCTTCTGAATTCCTGGTACTGCACCCAGGACTCCTGTCTCCTGCAGTCAGCCCACAGAGTTTCTCCTTTCGGAAGATAAAAGAACTGCCAGGACACAATGGTGCAGGAGTGCCAGAACAGCAAGGACAGTCGCCAGCCACCGCTGGCCACGGAAAAGACACCATTGAGTATTCTGTCATCCAAGCCTCTTCCAAAGCTCAGAGCCAGCAAGAGCAGGTGCACAGGGAAGGGGTGAGATGTGCATTCTGGGATTTGTGAGCAGTCTGGTATGGGGGAGGGAGCAAAGTGCTAGGGGACCTTCTGCCTGCTTCCCAGAAGCAGAGCCTTGGGAGGTGGCAGCCTCTTTAGGAAAACCAGCTTAGCACCTCAGACCTGCTGGCTCCACACAGGGATGGACCACCTGCTGTTCAATTATCCCACAGTCTCTTAAAGGGTACCACCCAGCCCAGTGGTATAGTGTTTCTTAGAATGTGTAGAGAAGCTTGGGTGCAACCTTGTTTTGTATAAAACAGCCCTGCGTTTCAAACCTCATGCCCGCTAACTCTTGAGAACCCTTTAAATGTTGGCTTTTTTTGGTCTCCTTGCAGCCCCAGCTGGCCTAGAACTCGCTGTGTAGACCAGGCTGGCCTTGCACTCACAGAGATCTGCCTGCCTCTATTTCCTGAGTGTTGGGATCAAAGGCATGAGCCACCACACCCAGCATCATTTCTAATGAGTTCAATCAGGAAGGGAGAGATGACTCAGTGGTTGAATGCTTGCTCTTGCAGAGGAACCAGGTTGGTTTCTACACACACACACACACACACACACACACACACACAAATAAACAAAAAAAGCCTCTAGTGGGTACAACTTGCAGAGTGGCCCACAGAGACACCCACTATGGGATGCCCACTTGCAGGGGGGGATAGTGGCTCATGTCATGCTGGCCTGGCAGGTTATCTCAAGAGCGTCCATCTGTCTCCACTCCCTAGAGACAGTGGAGGGCTGATTCTAGGCTGGCCCTGTGGCTTGTACCTGTGTCAGAGCCTAACCTTGTAACTGAGTCAGTCTCACTAGCTATAGCACATAGCCCTCCTTTCCACTGACATCTTCCTACCACCCAACCATAGAGCTGGAGAGGGAAGAACTTGGAGGTTGGGCCAACTGCCTTGCATGGGGTTTGAGGCATTTGCTAAGGTCAACTAAGCTTTCTTACACTACGGACTTGAAGGTCTGGTGGTGAATGTCCCTTAGAAAATAAGCTTCTAAACCGGGTGTGGTGGTACAGGCCTTTAATCTCAGCACTCTGGAGGCAGATCTCTGTGAGACAGGCCAGTCTGGTCTCCATGGCAAGTTTTGGCTAGCTGGGAGACTGTCTCAAAAAGACCCAAAGTAAAAAAGAGTTAAAAAGCTTCTAACAGAGGGAAGGAGGCAGGTGAGGGCAAGCGGGGTCGGCTGCGGCCAGCCCTGGGCGGGGAAGGCCTGCATCCGCTTAGGAACACAGGAACAGGACGTCTTCCCCAGGGGTTCTAGCTCCTCCAAGGGGCCGGGCCTGCTGCAGAGAATGGACTGGGCAGTGGGTCGCGGAAGGAGGGGCTTGTGGTGCCATCTTGGGACAGGAGTGGCGAGCCTCGAGTAACACAGGGGCAACGCGAGTGGGGAATGCACAGCGGCTGGGCATACTCAAAGACAGAATGGCCCGACACTTACAGACCTGAAGGGAGATCGCTGGCCCCTGAGGTGTGAGCGAATGCTAGCAGCGACTACGGGTGTGGTGCAGGAGTGATCTGAGCCGTGCCCCAGAAGCACCACCGTGGCACGAGGCTAGGCACTGGGTGCTCATTCCTTTAAGTTACTCCCCTCTCCCCGCCACGGTACTAATAAATTCACATAAAGATGTTACATGGTTTGCCTGATAGTGCAAGGGACCCAGAGAGAACTCTGGTGACAGGGGCCAAACTGCTCTCCTCGGGTATTCTGCAGAGCCCACCCAGGTGTTACCAAACAACCCTTACACAGACACAAATGTGAAAAAATGTGGAGCTTGGGGCTGGAGAGACGGCTCAGTGGTACTGGTCGTTCTTGCAGAAGACCCAGGTTCGAATCTCAGCACCCACATGGCAGCTAACAAGTGTTAACTTGTTCCAGGGATCCAACAGCCTCTTCTGTACTCCGTGGGCACTGCACAACACTGGTGCACTTACCTACATACAGGCAATACACACATGCACATTTAAAAAAAAAACGCAGTTCAAGTGAGCACCAAGATGGGAGTGCTTTTTCCATTTTGAGATGGTCCCACTCTGTATCCCAGGCTGGTCTCAAACCCTGTCCTCCTGCCTCAGCTTCCTGAGTATTGGCAGTATAGTATGAATCAGAACAGTGTGCACATGCTCTCCTAATAAAAACCACAACTGCCACCCAGGTGTGGTGGTGCATGCCTTTAGTCCCAGAGGCAGGCGGATCTCTGTGAGTTCAAGGCCAGCCCCAGTTGGGGCTACAGGGCGATGCTGTCTCAAAGACAAAAATAACAAAACCACCACAAGCCAGGTGTGAAGGATAGTGTTGTCAACTTGACAGTGGAGAATCACCTAGGAGATGGGTGGGTGTCTGGGCATGCCTGAGGGGGATTATCTTGACTGTTTGACTGAGGTGGTGGTTAGACCTACCCCAAGTGGCTGGGGGTCCTGGACGTATAAATGGAGAGGGCACTGAGCAGCAGCCTGCATCAGTTTGTTTCCTGTGGATGATGACCACTGCCTCAAGCTCCTTCTGCCTTGACGTCCCCATCATGATAAGCCGAATATTGTTTTGGAGGTAGTTTGGGTCTTTTTGAGACAGGGCCTCCCTGTTGCCCCAGCTGGCCTAGAACTTATTATACAGAGCAGGCTGGCCTCAGTCTCACAGAGATGGGCCTGCCTCTGGTGTGTCACCATGCCAGGAATGATGGTCTGTATCTAGAACTAAATAAAACCTTCAATAAAACCTTTCTTACCCTTAAGTTGCTTTTGTCAGAATATTTTGTCATCAAGAAACTAGGAGACCTGGCGAGGTGACCCATACCTGTGATCACAACTCTTCATTAAGTGGAGGCTTAGAAGACCAGGAACTCAGGGTTATCCGAAGCTACACGTCAAGTCTGAGGCCAGCCTGGGCTACATGACACCATGTCTCAAACCAACCCTGCAATGTTCCTCAAACACACTCCACTGGGCTGGGGGTAGAACTACATCACCCAGCTGCCCATGCCCGAGTCCAAACCACACCAGTGGATTGGGGATCAAGCAGCTCTGGCAGGAGCCGGGGGCTGCCTGTCTTGTGGCCAGGATGCTGTCTCATGGACCCCAGGGGTTGAGCGGTAAGGATGAGCTGGTAGACCAGCAGGGGTCACAGTAAGACACCGACAGTATCTGCAAATCGCAGGAGGAGGTGAAGCAGCGCTGGCAATGCTGACCTGCAGGTTTCCAGCAGGACGGACTGAGCAGCCTGCACTTTAACCTCTAGAAGGGTGCTGGGGGAGCATGGCTCTCATCTCAGCACTAGGCTTTGGCACTGCTGCAGCCCAGTGAGGCCCCAGACTTAAGTCATTTCAGAAGGATTCAGGACACTGCACTTTCCTCTGGTGGGGATGTCATGTGCATCCATGCTCACCGTGCTGTCTCCTGGGCAGCAGTTTCAAAAGAGCTGCTCTGGACCTCTCTCCAGAGCAACCGAAGACATTCTGGTGGTCTCCCCAAGGGCTTAAGACGGGTCTGTGCAACAGTAATTAGAAGAAAAAAGGAAAAAAAAAAGCTGGGCGTGGTGGCGCATGCCTGAAGCCCCAGCACTAGGGAGGCAGAGGCAGGCGGATCTCTGTGAGTTCAAGGCCAGCCTGATCTACATAGTGAGTTCTAGGACAGCTGGGACTACAGGGAGACCCTGCTTCAAAAAGATGAAAAAAAAAGGAACCACATTGCAAAACACTAGGAACTGGGGCTTTGTCTCCATCTCCCCTGCAACCCCTCACCCCCCATCATTACACAAAAGTCAAAAACAAGGAAGAGAGCAAAGCCAGGGGAGGCAGCATGGTCGAGAGATGAGGAGCCATGTCAGCTGCCAAGACCACAGGAAAGTGCTGAGGTAGACAGGCACTGAGCCAGGCAGGGCCCACACAGCTCTTCCACTACTCAAATTCTGCAGCGCTCATGCTGCATTGAAACAAAACTGCCGCTGAGGTCATGGCCTTGTGAGATAAAAGGGGAGCACTAGAGCAGCACACAGCAGCAATCTCAGCACCTGGTAAGTGGGGCAGCAGGATTAGGAGTTCCAGGCCAGCCTGGGCTGCATGAGACCTTGTCCCAAAAAACCCAACCAGGACTGGAGATGGCTCAGAGGTTAAGACCACTTGCTGCTCTTAGAAGACGGAGTAGAGTTCCTAACACCCATGTGGCAGCTCATAGCTAACTCCAGTTCCAGGGAATCCAGTGCTCTCTTCTGGTCTCCACAGGCTCACATACATACACATGAATAAAATGTTTTTTCAATCTCAGAAACAAAGCAAAGCCAACCAAACCAGTTTACCCAAGACAGAAAGGACTTCAAGCCCCTTTAAAGTGATTTTATCCCATTGCTCTGCGTTAGGGAGACTCACATTAGAAAGACAGGTGGATCAGTGTCCAACGTGAGTAACAACATGGCCACTAAGCAGGGGGCACATCAGCTCTTCAGAGTATTGCAAACATGAAGACCAGAAACTACATGGACACCCCCACACCCCCAAGTCAGGTCCTGTCATAGGGACACTGCCCTCCTCCCTCTGCCCAAGTCCAGGACTCAACAGAGCAAAGCCATGGGGGAGAGGGGTGCACGACAGAGAGACAGAGAGAGGTGACCAATGTGACAAACAGCACAAGAGAAAGAAAGGGGAGCGGGGAAGGAGGGAAGATAGAGGCGTCCACTGTGACCAACAGCACCAGCCACACAGACTGGGGCCGCTTTCAAGCAAAAACAAAAATAATGCTAAATATCCACTTTCAAAATACTGGCGTTTTCCTTCCCTAATATACTACTGGAGGTCACACAGGAGGGGTAGGAAAGCAGGAAGGTGGCTTGGATGTGGAACGTCACTGGAGACCAGGCCTCAGCAAGGGCTCACTCCAAGGCAGCCAGCTGCTCAATGGCATGGCGGACTTTCTTCGCAGTTTCTTCAAATTCTTTCTGCTTGCTGTTGGTTTCCTTTGCCTGGAAATAATGAACAGACACATGAGGGTGGGATGTGGCTCTGGGGTAGCTCCATCTCCAGTAATTATTACAGTTCCTGACTTCACCCCACCGGGAGTTGAGCCCAGGGTCCCAACATGACAGGGAGATCATCTGCCGCGCTGCCCCCAGCTCCTTCTTCTTTTGATTTTGCTTTTTTATTTTTTATGAGTGTTTTGGCTGCATGGATGTAAGTGCACCACATGTATGCGATGCCCATGGAGGCCAGAAGACAGTATTGGATCCCCGGGAACTGGAGTTACAGGTGGTTGTTTCCTGCCATGTGGGTGCTGAGATTCGAACCCAGGTCCTCTGCAAGAGCAGCTAGAGCTCTTAACTGCTGAGCCATCTCTCCAGTCCCTATTTTGTTTTGGGTTTTTGTTTGTTTGTTTGTTTGTTTTGGTCTTTTTGAGACAGGGTCTCCCTGTAGCCCCAGCGGACTTGGAACTCACTATGTAGTATAATTAAAAAAAAAAATTATTATTTTTTATTTTACATCAATGTGTGTATTGCCTGCATGTAGGTAAGTGCACCGATGTCGTGCAATGCCCGCAGAGGACAGACGAGGCTGTTGGATCCCTGGAACTGGAGTTATGGACAGTTGTTAGCTGCCGTGTGGGTGCTGGGATTTGAACCCAGGTCTTCTACAAGAACAGTGTTCTTAACTGCTGAGCCATCTCTCCAGAGCCAAGTTTTGATTTTTTTTTTAAATTTTATTTATTATTTTTATTTTATGTGTATGAGTGTATTGCCTGCATGTAGGT